GCTTCGATCAAAGATACAAGAAAGTAATGGATGGATCATTTCGGCTAGCACTTTATCTTAATTTTAGCCAGAATTTTAGACGTAATATCCAATAGGCATTTGCTAAATTTTCGTTAGACTTGCTTTTTAACTGGAGACGCGAAGCATATTTTTTCGTTAAAGTTATATGATTAATATGCTATTTAATGAGCTAGCTCGCGCAGAATCCATTCTTGACTAAGAAAAAGTTAGGACAAAAACCCCGTTAGACTTATTTGATAAATATGCTATTTAAAGAGCTAACTCATGTAGAATCCATTTCTGATATAATAATAGAAATTAAGATTCTAGAGCTGTTAGAAGCTTTTCTAATATATTAATAAAAATCGATATGCTTTCTGAGGTTGGAGAAGCCATACAGAATTAAGAAATATAATATCAAAATTAAGATTCTAGAGCTGTTAGAAGCTTTTCTAATATAATAAAAAAATCAATATTGTTTTTAACATTCTGTGACTCACACACACACAGTTTCAGTGAGGGGTCAGACCTTCAGTCCTCAAACCCCCACTTTCACAGTGTGTATAGCATAGTAGTATTATTATAGGCTTCAGTTAGAGATGCATTTCAAGTGATATTAATATTTCTGTCAATATTATAGTTTTTTCAATTTTGTTCTATTATGAATGGTGCAAATAATATCTAATAGTTTCATCATAAGAAAGATCTGTGAAGTTTAAAAGTTAATAATTTAGAACATTCCTTATATTATACATAGCTTTCACAAATACAGAATTTGATTCGACTATATAAACATCTTGTTTACTATTATTTTAATTTTGATAATAGCAGCGTCTCAAACTTCTTTTGATTGTTTATTATCTTGAGATAGTATATAGTTTGTTATATCCTAATCTCATAGTATTTAATAAAGGTTAAAATACTTAAAATAGCAATCATAACAGAATATATAAGTGAGAGAGATAATTTTCCTATTGAATCATTACTTTTTATAAAATCTTCATTTTTTTTAATTAACTAATTTACATATTAGAAAACTATTATCTACTTTTCGTGAGTTAACATAAAGTAATCAGCAAAGGCAGTTCAAAATAATTTAATGTTTAGCATCCTTTACCAAACTATTTATTACATGATATTAATAGCTTTTTTTTAGCAACACCATCAAATATAAAGATACCAATAGATGAAATACCTTAAGAAATTATTTCTTGAATTTGTAATTTTGAAAAAAAAATCTTCAGTTTTGATTTTTTTAACTTAATACTTTAAACTGATTAGCTTTTAGAATATATTAAACTAAAATTAGAAAGAATCAAATTCTTTTTAAATTTGTAATTATTTTATTTTAAATAATAATAAAAATATTATTCTCAAATAATAGCAATCATTTTTTTATAAAATGATTGCAATCAAATAATAAATCTTATAGAATAATTGCAATTATTATTTTTAAAAGATGATAATTATCTTATCAATTATAATTATTATTCTTAAATAATATTAATTATTATTTTTATAAAAAATATTATTCTTTAAAAAATGATAAAAATGAATTATTTTTAATAAATATAATTATTATTTAAATTAAATAATAATTACTTAGTTTATATTTACAAAATTCTAATATTTAGTAATAAAATTTATTAATTATTTTTAATTTATATTTTTAATAAATATTATAAATTTTATAAATATTTTAATTTTTATTTTATTATCTTTTTTAAATATTAATTTAAGTTTTATAAATTTTTTTTAAATTATAATTCTATTGCTTTAAATAAATTTTCTAATTTAATCTAATATTATTTTAATGATTTCTAATTAATAATTTGAATTAATTTATTTAAAATGTTAATTATAATAAAAATTATATTAAATATAATTATTATATTAGTATTTATATAATATAATATAATTAATATAATAAAAAATATCTATTAGTTAAATTTTTTATAATAAAAAAATTAATAATTAATAAAAATAAGTATAATAAATAAATTTTATTAATAATAAACTCAAAAATTTAAATTACATTTTTTTAAAAAAAAATATATTATATATTATTTATTTTAATATTATTAAGATTAGCTACTAAAATTAAAAAAGTACAATTACTGAAAAAATAACTTACAACTAAGTAAAAAAAAGCAGGTATTTTAAAAATTTAAATTTTTAAATTTGATAATATAAATAATATACTTAAATATAAAAACTATAAATTATAATTAAAAAAAATATATTGATATATTTTTAATAAAGAAATTTTAATTAATATTTATATTAATTAATAAAATTAAAATTAAATAAAAACTAAGAAATAGAAACTGTCGTTAAGTTTAAAGTAATCTAAATTAAAAAATTTTATCTTTATGCAATTGTAAAATCAATGAGCATTAACTTAATATTGAGTAATTAAATAAAATAGATATTTTGTTTTACTATATAATTTTTTCATACTTTAAGCTAATTATTTAATATTATATATATTTTTATTTTAATATTAAAATATATATCATAATTTAAAATTGAAGTTATTGTTAAATTATAAAAGTTTCTATTTACTTTACTAATATTTTAAATATAAAAATATAAATAAGATTTTTAAAATTATTTATTAATATTTTTCTATTAAAAATTATTATTTATATAAAAATAAATTTATTAAGATCTGTTGGTTTAATTTATTTAAATAATTTTATATTAAAAATTTTTAAGTATAAATTTATATATTAGGTTGCAAAAGTTTTTTATTCTTATAGCAACCATTATATTAAAGGTTACATTTTAATATAAATTTATACAAATTGTATAGATTAATATAGATTATATTTATAAAAACATTCAGATGTAAATAATATATCTGTTGTTATTAGACTTTAAATTTTTTTATAACATCTATAAATCTAATTATTATTTTTAATAATATTAGAGAAAGTAAAGTGATAATAAATATATATTACGTAATTATAAAACAACCTTTAATCCCTACAAAATAAAAAAGACCATCACCAAATAATATTGACGCATCAAGGTAATGTCTTTGAATTTTAGTTTAAGACTATTCTTTTAAATAGTCACGTTGAGATATTACTGAAAAATTGTTAACCAATACTCATTTGCTAGGAAAAAAAATTTAATTAAGAAATATCAAATACGATTGTTCAAGCGGAAATGATCTGAAGTAAATAAGGAGGATTATATTTATTGTTCATAATTAAATCCTTTGTTAAATTCAGATCATAAAGATCACAGCTTGGCCTCCACTTCAACAATGTATTGATACCGACTACAACTTAAGACAAATTGAAGGAGGATCTATTCCCATTTCAAATTACTTTACCCTGAATTTTTACCGGCAAAACGTCCTGCGATTACGATTACTATCAATTTTGTACGTTGACCAACTCTCAACGATGGATGGTAAAGCAAATAGAAAGTAAATATTTATTTGGAATTGGACCAGTTGTAAATAAAGATAAAATAATAAAAAATACAAAATAAAAATACATAAGAAGAAAATAATTTAAAATGGTAAGGTATTACAGGAATTAAATAATAAGTAGAAATACAAGAAATGAAAAAAGAAATTACAACTACATTTTTGTTTAACTTAAAATGATCGTTTTCTTTTTGTTTTTCGGCAATAAAGTCGAAAAGATCGTTGCATAGATCTTTTACATTTGTTAATATTATCCCATGCACCCGTCCGGCTTTCTTTGCTCCGGGTAAATATCCGGAGGGCGCCACCACGATACCAATTTTTCCATGGTTTTCGCGTCGGGAGAGCACCCCTGCAAGCTCCTCCACGACGTTACGACCTAATAGCGTTTCAAGAACGATTAATTCGTTTCATTTTTCGATAAAACATGTACTTTCGATACAATACCTATTTTATTTGCCCAATTTTTACATTGGATTATAAATTCGCTACTTGCTGCTTCCCCAGAGATATCTATCCCACCATCTCCAGGCCCACTAAAAAATAATAATAAAAAAAATGAGTACTTGCGTACAACGACTCGACAAATAGTACTGTGAGAACTCATCCATTTTTCTTATTTTTGATGCCTACAGCATCTAACATATCGGCAGTTTTATCTTCTAAATATTTTCCCTTTTCGTAATTGTTCATTTTATTTGTTATTGTTAGAAATAGAATTGAGTTGAGATTTTTTTTTTTTTTTTTTTTTACGACTATTACTTAAAATCGCGTATATATTCCATTTTCATAACGTGCCATTTTTTACCTTTTGTGTTACCATTTTTCGATAACAAACACGAGTTTTCATAACGGGCTTATGCAAGCAAAGTATCGATCTTGATAGATCAGGTGTGAAACCTAAATATGCATATTTCTTGATAGATTGAAGTGTAACACAAAATTTTAGTATCCTTCTTGATATATTAAAGCGTATAAAAGTTTTTTTTTCGTGTTTCTACGTAATATTCAACATATATAAAATATATTAATGAGTAAATTCAGTTGATGTGCCATTATGCCCGCGATTTAACAAAGTATCAGTTTATAAAGTAGGAAATAAAAGTTTGCTTTAATAAAACAAACAGTATTTTTATAATTTTCAAAATAATTTATCAAACTCTGACCTATCAAGATCGATACTTTTGAGCTTTGCAAGTTCCATGCATATTGGATGCTTTTCCCATATATGCATGTATACGAACCAATTCTGCCCATGGATTTATTACTTCTGATCCAAAAATTTACTTTCCACGCAGTATGATTGATTATGCTTATTTGTCACATATCAAACGAATAAACCTAACCCACCTAACCCACCGAAAAAAATTCTAAGTCCCTCAAATCACCACCAGCCAATCGTAGGTAAATAATTAATCCCATCCCATTATTTGATGATGATCATTTTGATTGACTAAAAAAAAAAATATCAAATTATTATAAATATTTAAATAAAAGATAAAACTTAATATAAGTTTAAATATAATAAAGAAAATAAATTACAATTAAAGGATTTTAATAAAGAAATTTACCAAAGTTTACACGGGTTGTATAATGTGTTATAACTTTATTATTGGGTAAATCAAATTTGATTGGTTGATTCAGGGCTCTGCAGGAGCCCGAATATTATTAGCTAGTTATTCGGCACGTGCCGGAAAAATGATTTATCCGTATCACGTAATTTAACCTTAAGCAGATAAAAAGGGTAATAATGAAAATAAAAAAATAAATATCAAGCTTGCTCGTCATGATATACGTGGTCTTATGCATTAATAGCCAAATAGTCTAACGCTCGTTTAAATATCCCTATAAATCATTAACATATTATTATTTTTTCATATCCTAATCATTACGGAAATAGAAATAGTTTAATCACAAAAGTTCAAAATCAAACTTTGTTGGGAATCTATTTTACAACCAAAACCAACTCGGGAACTTTTTCAATGTAAAGATTTTAATGAAAAATAATATTTGGTTTAAAACTTTTTTATTTTCGCGTCAGATTTAAACTCCCTATTGATTTTTATATTATATTATATCGTATTACCTTTTCTCTTTACGTATTAATGCAGAGAAGGATTTCTTCATATAAAAAAATTTCAAGATAACGTAAGTATTATGAATCATATCCAAATATTTCTATTCAATGACATTTCTAAAAGAATTTCAATTAAATACGTATGATTAGATACTAAATTGTTCGACTTCAATTAGTAGTAAAACTAACTTTTGAACAATTTAAAACGATTTATAATTGATTGTTATTATTATTTTTTTTTACTCATGATAATAAATAATATAGATGAAACAAATTAATTTAGCCTAAGTTTATTTTTCTGCAACAGACTAAAATTAAATAAGTAATGCCGCGAAAAGACTGGAAGGGTATATTTTAGTTGAAGAGGCATATATTTGTATGTCTAATTTAAATAATAGCTTACTCCCGCGCTCTGCACATAGTCGATAAGCTAGCACCTTAAATTATTATTTAGGTATCGGCATATTTCATTCCCATGGAATGTTAATCAATCACCTTAATGAAACTTGTTTTGAAGATTAATTACTGCAGATCAGTATAGTACGTTATTGCAGATCAAGAAATTCGATATCGTGCTGTTCTGTATAATAGTGCGATTTAAATTTATCAATTAAGAGGTTTTTTTTTTATCACATTATAGTAACATTATTATTTTTATCATGAAATAATAAATTTTCATGATATATAAATACTGACAAATTAGAACCTAATAAAATTGAAAACCCATATAAATCTTTAATCAATCATTTTAGTTGGTCCAATTTCTATTTGTATTAGTCCCTAACGTTAGTAATGATTTTGGCTAATTTCCATAACAAAAAATAGTAATAGTTAAAGAAAAGGATTAGGAAAGAAAATGGAAAGATTAAATTAGGTCAATTAATGTTCGATTTGTCGATAAGATTTTTTGAGATAATGAAATCGAATTTTTAATTCAAATGTTCTTTTAAAATCCTAATTTAAACAAAATATTATAAAAGATTTTTTTCACCTTAAGGGCTTAGCACTTAATATTATATAGTCGGGAAAAGTTATTGATGGTTAAAAAGAGGAACTTCGAATCACGATGAATCTTATTAAATCAAAATATATGCATTAGCTTAGCGTTCCTCATTAATTGTTTTTTTTACCATGAATATCTCCATTGCAATTCTTGGATAAACAGTAATTATTGATATTTGTACATTCTAACTTTTTTTTTTTTATTCATAGATTTGAACACTTTGCTACAGGAATAATAATTTCATGGTTACTATAATAATAATTTTGACTGCGTTCCTGAGTGAAATTAAACGTGAACATGTACAAACTAATCAAAGGGAGATAAAAAAACGTAGATAGAATTTCTCTTAAAAGTCAATATCCTTTTTTCAATCTTCAACAAATGTGCTTCCACATAAAGATCTTGTACTATACTTGACAAAAAAAATTTAATTCATTAGTTATGACATCTTAAATAAAATATTGTATTGAAAAATACATGAACATACCGTCGTCTCGTTTAAAAATCAAATCTGCAATAGATGAGTCAATATCTGCTACAATGCAATGTACCAATCAAATAAAAGTGTGCGAGTCAGTAGGATTTATTTTACATAATAAACTTTTAATATAATAAACATACCTTATATATTTTCATGCAATAAACCCGATTATTAATCAATTAGATAATATCTGGCATAGTTAAACCAGAGATTACATCACAGCGAATCTAATCTGGCAGTATTTGAAGAGTTGTAAGATATCTGACACTTTTTGATAAATGATCTTCCAGAATAATGTTGCAGGGTAAACTCTTGGATTTTGAAAATACAATGGGGTACCGCTATATAATAAGCAACCAAGCCCGAAGAAAATGCAATCGAAACATAAGATTTCGACTTTTTCAAAAGTGAGATTTTTCCAGAATATTTTTAAGCTGCCATGTCATTCTAACCATGTAAGTTAATTAAAGGTATAAGATAGTGAAAATATATATAGACATTATCATATATTGATCACCATTTTGCATTTTCAATAGAACAAAGTACAGAAAACTTTGCAAATCATTACAATACTGCAATTCGTTCAGCCCTCTAGCGCCTTTCGAAGGCATACATATCACAATAACAATTTGCTTTGATCGTGCATGCCTTTCAAGAAAGTCTAATCTTCCTGTATCCTATTTGAATGATTGAATAGAGTATTGTATATAATCTTTCAATATACTTTGCTGGATCGTGAAATTTCACTGAAGGCATTGGCCTATGAAGGACGCCTTGTTCTTTTCCTCTTGTTTTATAATATTCTGGAATTAACAATATGTTTTAAATGTGAACACTAATAGGAAAGAAAATAATTATTATTAACTTACTTTCTTTCCATCTTTACATTTATGGTCAAGCTTCTGATTGAATTTTCTGAGTTGGTATTTTGTGCGAAACTAGTTTAGGAATTCATCAGAGGATTTATCACGAGTACTAAAAGGTTAGCAAATAATCAGCTAATTGCTAATTATATATCAAAATTAAACAATATAGTTCAAAATATACCATGGATATTTCCTATAGAAAATATATAAAAGTAGGTTATCAATTTGACAATTGCTCGATCGATAGAATGACTTAATTCAATTAGATTTTGCTATATCAATTCATGAAGTGACAGATCCTAGATTTCCCTTTTCTGTTATTTTTCTCCAAGGTCCTAAATACTCGAATATTCGTGTCGTATTCTATTGGACTGCACCTTCTACCTGAGATTGGAATCAATTCTACCAATGAACTAATTGAAAATCGTAAAAATAACGAATCTATTGTTCAGTATTGCTAGGTTGCCGGGCAAAACTCGGAAGTTTAGACAGGCATCGAAATCGAAACCCGTCGAAACCGTTGAAACATCGAAATCGAAGGTTTCGACTTTTGCCAAAATGGATTTTTATTATTCTTTATAATAAAACCAGGGAAGTCCGAGATCAAAAAAAATCTAACCAACATTTGATGGGCCGAAATCATTTAATCGTTGCGGCCGTGATCGAACCCAGAAATTAAAAACAAATGAGGACGGCCCGAAGCGATCTAATCTGCCCAAAAAAAAAATTTAATTAAAAAAAATTTATTTATGCAAATTGAAACGATCGAAGCCAAAAGTAATTTACTTTAAAAATAAAAAAATTAATTCAATGAAATGATTAATCAAAATAAAACAAACATACTCGGCCTGAAGACAAATTAAAAAAATTACCTAAAAAAAGTGGGTAATCAAAAAAAAAAAAATTACTAAAGTTTTATGGAGAAAGCAAAATAATTTATGAATAAAAAAAAACTTTACCAATGCATCATTAGATGCTGAAAGAAATCGCTAAATAGCATTTGAATCATGAATCTGAAAAAAAAAACAAAAAAAAAAATTTAAATTTATATAATTAATAAAATAATAAAAAAAAAAAAAAAGGAAAAAAAAAACTTACCTATATATAGCCCGCGAAAAAGAAAACCGATCGAAAAGAATAATTTCTGTTTTTTAAAAAATATATTACCTAATAAGTGATCCAACCAAAATGGGTAACCAAAAGGAAAGAAAAGAGGCGCAGCGATCGTACGATCGCTGCGCCCGTCTTTCTGAGGAAAAAAAACTA